TAAGGTACAATAATTTTTAACGTAAATATAAAAGTAGTTTGTTTATGGGCCGGCCTATTAAAATCGAACCTTGGCTAGCATTTCTAGGAGGCGGTGTTTCATATACCCCTCCTTATTATCCAAGAATTATAATCGCATTGTTTCTTGTTAATTTATATTATTCATAAATAATTAAGTATAATTTTTGCAGTAACGTAACTGAGTATTAATAGACGAAGGTAAGAGATGAGTTTGTTCAGGGGAGTACTGTTTGTTTTTAATTTCACTACTCATTTTCTACCTTTAGATGGTTCCAAAAAGAAAAAAAAATGAAGGAAAAGAATGCGACGTTTTGTATAAATTGAAAATAAACTATCATTACGATCCTAATAACCTTAGAGGTAGGTATTACTAAAGCTAGTTACAAAATTGCGTCTTGCCCGTACCCAATAATGATTTATATGTCGAAATGTCTACAATTATAATAGTAATAAATCAGAGGATACGATTTTATGTACTTACAATAAAGCGGTCTCCGATTTGCCATCGACAGAGAATACTTTGTGTGATCTTGATTTGTAATAACAGCGAACAGTATAAAGGATCTGTTATTTATAATTGTCAATAAAAATATAGCAACGGGTCCACGGTTCTTTTGTTGTTTGTAAAAGATATTTTTTATTCTTTGTGTGCCATTTCACAATATATTTCACATTTTCATATCGCCGTCAATGAAATTTCAACTCTATTATTTGCGGTCGTTATTATTTCGTTAGTTTTGAATTACAGAGCAAAAATAGCTTTGTAAGTAGGTCGTAGTTGAAAAATATATTTAAAATTCAGAACATAGTTTAATTTTTCCTTTCAAATCTAATGTCATTGGAAAATATTGAAAATGCGTGGTAGATTTCATCTACACACACACCGATTACTTTGTTTTAGTCCAAAATACGACACAGAAATGATATATGAGAAGTAAAATTTCGGTATTATTAATGATAGCATAGAGCGAGTATCCTCAGGCTATACAATTAAGAAATTGTAATACATACCTCTCGCAGACTTGTCCGTGAGAATATTTGGTCTAAAATAATATTAATGTAATAAACATACACAATTAGGAAAGAATATGTAGCAATTATAGAAAAAAATATGCCTGAAATGATTCAACTTGCCATATACGAAAGTTGTAGTACCCTACTCTTCTTGTATCTTCAAATACAAAAAAATACAGTATTTTTGTTATTTTTAATACTGATTTGAGGATCTTAATATTTTTATTTACTCATCAATTATTGAGAAGGAAACATTAATTTAGTTACGATTGTTTATTTTTAGAGCAAATGATTAATCGATTGCCCTAGCAATCACAGAATAGACAATGGCATATTGTTAGACTGAAGCCTTTTCCGCGATACAGTTGGAATGAAATATTTTGATATTAACAATACAGCTATCTGCATGAAGCTGAAGCTACCCGACACACAGTACCCGCCAAACAGAGCCGTACTTGCAGTGGGGCCCCAAAAAATGTTTTTTCATTATACGAATTAAAACCGCATAATTAACTATAAAATAATCAAAATGTATCGAAAATAGTACTTTCCCGCCGAAATCCAATGGAACGGGCATTAAATAAACAATTATAGTTGCCACTAAGGTATTTTATTTTACTCGTTATTTTCTGTTTCATTTCGCAACTGCAGATGTTAAAAAAATATATTTTTCCAAGTATTCAAAAGCTTGGTAAAAAAATTAAACGAAACAATTTTCCGAATCTAGGCCCTCGAATCGGTCTTGGACGATTTTTTCAAAATTTTCAGCGGCCAAATATTTTTTTTACAACAAATTTAAGGATCAGTGAAAATTAAAAAATTCGAAAGTCTGTTAAAAACAAACGAAACGGATTTGGCTTGCCTTTGGATTTTCAAAAACGCAGGCGGTAGTGTTGTAATATTGGAAACGTCGCTATGATTGTTACTGCGGATAGAGGGATTCATTTAAGGTGTATTACGGCCGATATTAGCGGATGATGGCTTATTACGGGTTGAGGACGGTAAAAAAGTTGGTAAGAAAGGCGCAACAGCCAAGGAAAAAGAAAAAGTGAGTCAGCGGCACGTTAAAGTGGTTAATTTATAATCTAAAGTAAATTTATAGGTCACTTAGAGCTTGAAGCGGGGCTGAGATAGGTTGTGAAAAACGTGTTCGCCGTGGATTTTTACGGGGCCGAACGGTATCGCCCGCGAGCTGAAAGCAGGGGGACATCATGGCATAGGTAGAACATAATTACGAACATGTGGAGTTAAGATACACGGTTCCAGTAATTAACAAGGGGATTTATTAAGGATTGGCCACATGTTCACCAAGACAAACACAGCCTACCGTTACAAATACGAACACCTAGCTTAACGGGCTCCCAAGTCACGAAAACCCACAATGCCAATCCGTTTTCGCTCCTTTAAATAAACACATGCACCGCCGACAACCTTAACAGCCTTTATTTATTTGTTGGATACTACTTATGTATCAGTATATGTAAATGTAAACTATCCCACCCGGCCCCTGCTTATCGCCTGTGCTTCTTCAGTCCATGTAATTAATTATGGATGGTACATACAAAGAGCCAGCATTTAGTTAATAATACTAGTATTAGCATATAGTTGGCTATGCGCGGCGAGGCTTGTACAACAGAAATTATCGACTTAAGCACTCGCTGAAATTGCCTTCTCGAAACCCTCGAGTCCCCACCGCTGCTAAATCCATTTTTTTTTCTTTTTTAAAACGTTTTGTAGTTGGCGAATTAAAGATTCTTGAAAATCATACAGCAGAACCTCGATAATCCGAACTTAGCGGAACCGAAGGTAATTCGGGTTTTAGGTCGTTCGGACTAGTGAGAGGTTCGGATTACTGGCATTCGGATTATCGAGGTTTCACTGTAATAGACACAGTTAACTAATCGAGCTTGCGAGTTTAATTTTTCTGAGGATTTTCAAATTTGTTTTTCAAACATGATTTCAATACTGATACAACATAAAAAATAAAAAGTTGTTTTCAAGGAAAAAATCGTTTCTTATATTCTATCGACTCCCGAATTTATGTTGCCTTTTTCCAGAACACTCCGTATAACTGATATTTTCAAAAAACTAGTTTCATGCAAGATTCTTGCCGCAGTACCTTTATGAACGCTTGTTGGGAGGCAACGCTGTATATACGCGTATGTATATACATTGTCACTTATCTTAAGCGTTTCCTGGAATATGGGATGCTTTGAAGCGTTTTTGTGTAGTGTAAAAACAGCGCGCACGTACCCTCATTATGTCAGGCTTAACCACAAGCCTATTTGCTAAGTAATCGTCGCCGTAGGCGCGATTTTTATTTCCTTTTTGGTCGAACCGAGAATAATACCTTAAATTTTCATTAGTCGATATAAATCTCGAACTCAGGGCCGTGGGTGAGTCCTTGACGGGTAATTTTTTTCACGCCGTATAGGAGTACGTACGTAATAAATTATTTTTTAATTAGCTTCAGTAATTATAGTGATAATTTGAAATAATTTTGTTTCCCCAAAAAAAAACACCACACACCTTGGTACCGCGGTGTTCTGTTCATATATACACCACTTAAGATAATTAAAAAATGCCGTCGAATTATTTATCACGTGCTGATCTGTATTTAAGAGCAATTTTCACGTCACGTGTAGAAAAAACTTGGGGAAACTTCGGCTTGTTTAAACTAGTTTATTAGATTAATACTTTTTTACGACTGGTGAATAATAAATCAACTGTCCGAAATAATTATGGAAAATTAAGGATAATCTTGAAGTCGGATTCCATTTCAATCAAAACTTTATTAAAAATTACACTTGTATCTTATATCCTGTTACTGAATCGTCGAAGTAAAACAACTAGATGATTTTTTCTACGTTGTTATGTGTTGGTTTGATCAGTACTACCTTGAAAAATTCCAGACTCCATAGGAGGTACCAGGATAAGCTTTATAAAAGAGAACTAAATGCAAGATTTATCTTAAAATTTGATCTCAATAAAGAAAAAAAACGACTAAATTTATGCAAGAAAAGGGAATGACATAATAATCGCATCTTGAATTCGATATTATTTCAGATTCGTTATGAAATAGCCGATATCCTTTCAATTTAAGTGGATGTAATTACTAAAACTAATACACGTTAATTGCCAAATATTTAATAATGATTAATATTTCTTCTGCGATGATTAATGGATATTTCGGCAAATTTAGTATCAGTTTTCATTACATGGCAAGGTTGTTGAGATGTGTACATTAAATTATGTAGAAACGTTCATTGATATTATAACGCGGGACACCCTGTATATTAGAAAATTTAAAGTTGCCTTTCACAATTCCATTTCGACTTCGTCCAACTTGGCTCTGAAAAGTTGAGAATCGATTTTAATATCTCTACCTATTTCAGAAATATAATCGGATATTTATTCAAACAAATCGACAGTTGTTATCGCAAGTTGGTAATCTACGAAACACGATAAAAAATGAACATGATCAAATGGATTTATGTGCTAGGAATAGTTGCATTCCTTATAGTGCTTTATTTACGCAATAGAACAGTACCTTCTAAGAAAAATTACAAAACAAACAACGCTTTATGTGAAGATCTGGCATCAGATTGTAGTTAGAAATATTTGCTATGGTTCATTATTTTTTCCCGCACGGTATGGTTGATGTCCGTAATTGAATTAAGTCGTGTATATTACCTTTTTGCTGCAAAAAAAGGATTTATTTAATATACCTACCTAAAATTATTCTGGGAATAGTTTAAATCCGTATAATACAAGTAGAATATCCAACTTTTTTCGTTTCGAGAGATTTTTGGTCTTTATGCTTTTAATAAAACGCGTACACGAGTAGGATATAAAACGTATTCACCTGTAAGGTGATTGAAAAGTATACGATCTGGAAACTGAGACATCGTCCGACTTTTAACATTCCGTTTTTTTTTTCTGTTCTATAGTACGTTTCTTTTTAAGGTTCGATGCGAATAAGTCAACGAAGGGAGCCAGCAAGTTACGAAGAGATCTAATTAACGCTGAAATAGCAAATTTACGAGAATTATTACCCTTACCACCTTCAACGAGGCAGAGGCTGTCGCAACTCCAACTTATGGCACTAGTGTGTGTATACGTCAGGAAAGCCAATTATTTTCAGCAAGGTACGTAATTAATAAACCTAGCCTAAGCTCAGATTGCGGCGTTTTCCCCAGACACCCTGTATATGTTCTTATTATTTCGCTTGTTAGGCCCTCGAATAGGCCTTGAAGGTTTATTTTAGAACTTTCATTGGCCAAATAAGGAGTTTTATTTTTCTAATTGTTCAAAAGGTTAGTAAAAATTAATCGAAATTTTAAGGTGTCGTTATTTAGCAAACCGGTTTTAGGTAACAGTAAATCGGGTATAAGAAAATCAAAAATGACCCCAGTTGGCCCGTATCTCGTTTACTTTTCCAGATACGAACAAAAATGTATAGGGAAACCTCAAAAACGTGCCCTAATCGATATGCCACTCCAAATTCGGTGGCATTTTTGAAATCCAGGCCTCCAAATGGGACTAGGCAAATTTTTTCATAATTTTATTGGAAATGTATAGGGAAACCTCAAAAACGTGCCCTAATTGAAATGCCACTCCAAATTCGATGGCATTTTTGAAATCCAGGCCCCCAAATGGGTCTAGGCAAATTTTTTCATAATTTTTTTGAAAAAAAAAATTTTCGTCAAAAAACACGATCATATATAGGTATATCCATAAAATCACAAAAAAATTTTTGTCTAGAAAAATTACTATAAAATTCTCCTGTACCATTTCCGAGACGTAGAATTCGAAAATAACCTCGGTTTACCCGTAACTCGCTTACTTTTCTAGATACAGTCGAAAATTCATCGACAAGAATTGTAGAATAACAAAATCATAAAAATTTCAGTTTTCCAACTACTCAAAGAAAAAGGCATTGATTATTTGTCGGTTAATGAAATTAATTGCGTTTTCTAACTCGAAATATCCAGTTATGCGAAAGAAACAGCTACAATGTCGTTTTTTGTTTAATTTACGGTTAAAACGAGACTAATTAAATTATGAATGCATTTATTAAAATTTTTAATTAACTTGTGATTGAAATTGAATCGGAAATCGGAACTATAATCATTTCGTACACTCATAAAAATTTTACGTAAAATTACACACTAGATCATTGGTTATTTTAATGTATAAGGTAACTTAAAGTTACCTTAAATTTCAGTGAAATTTTTTACAGCGTAACACCACGTGATCACGTTATCCATCTGATTGGTTGAGCCAACAGCTTAACGTAAATTCAAACTTTCTTTCGTACATTTATAACAAATGTAATAAAAACACTTTAAAAAATTAGCATTAATGAAATTTAATATACAACGAAAAAGTAACACTACCTACATCGTAAAAAGAATTTCTACATTTTTTATCAGTGTATTAAATTTAAGAGTTGCATAGCTGAAATGATTTGAAAACAACGAATTTGTTCCGATAAGGAACATAACGTGTTTTTTATATTTGTCATTCCCTTTTTTCGAATGTAGCAGGAAACATAGCGCGCCGTGTAAATAAGCATATCCGCAGGGAATGAAGATCCGCGGAGAAAATAAATACATCGAATCGGACGTTTAATTTAAATGCAAACGGGGATTAAAAAAAGACCAATTGAGAATTGCGAATAGATGACGCCAGTTAGACATATTCCTCGGGATTCCATAAACATTTCAGCGTCTTTAGCAGTGACGGACGGATCAGATAAGAAGCGTTTGCAGGCACGTATACATGTCGAGCCGAGAGTTAATTGACAGGCCAATCAATGGGCGATTTTGTCACTAGACTCGAAAACGACATTGATTGACTTAATATTCCACAGTTCAATTTCAATAAACAATGGGTAATTTCACTATACTCGAATCCGCCATCCGAATATACGTGATTTAATGCAACTTATTGTCATACGCTCCTCGATTGTCCACAAAAAAACTCGAAACATGTACCTTTTTTTCCATGACATTTTGTACCGTTCAAAAAAGCATCGTGAGAAAACTGTTGATGAGACGCCCCGTGTCACTTTACCGATAAAATCATTAATTACCTTAATTAATCTCTCTTATTAGTCGATTTGCATTGTTTTATTTGTTTCATCACTGAGAATGTTAAACAAAATATTTTTGCAGCTGTTCAAAAGACTAGTAAAAATTGAACAAAGCAAATCCCCATAAAAGCTGGTGGAAATAATTTTTTTCGAACACGAAATCAGGTACAAGTACTCTGGTCAAATAAAAATGTTCAGTTTTGCAATGTTTCATAACATGAGTAAAAAATTAGACAAAATTCGAAAATTGTCGAATGATTTGTTTTTTCGCAAAATATTCTTTTCGAGAACCCAACATCACTAGATCAGGTACTAGAAGCTCAAAAATAGCTCCGGTTTGTTTAGATCTCGTTTACTTTTCGAGATACAACGGAAAATTCAACGGAAACGATTACCAAACTCCAAAAATTTAAACAAGAGAAATCCTCTCAAAAGAGTAGTAAAGCGGGTATGAGAAATTCGAAAATGGACACAGTTTGTCCGGATCTCGTTTACTTTCCGAGATACAGACGACAATTTAACGGGGACTATCATTGTCATTCTCCTGCCTATTCAGAAGATTGGCCGAATCCGTTTTATTTTCCAATGTATAGACAAAATTCATATACATCGGAATCGATGTACGTATGTGATTTATTGCAACTTATTGTTATCCATTCCCGGTCGTCCACAAAAAATAATTCGAAACATGTGCTTTTTTTCGTGACATTTTGTACCATTTAACGCATCGTGAGGAGTCTCTTGATGAGATGCTGTGTTAGTCCGCGAATAAAAAATCATTAATTACTTTAATTAATATATCTTTCTCTCTCTCGTGTCGTTTTGCAGGGCTTTATTCCGCAACTGAGAATGTTGACTGTTTGGATAAATACATAAATAGATGTAGTGAGATACCAGCTGAAAAATTGATGGATAAAGCAATTAAAGAAGAAACCGAGACTGGAGTAATCCATTTGTTAAATTGTGTGCAAATATGCATGAAATGCTGAACTAAAAGCAGCGAGACAAGCTAATTACCGGCATTGTTTGCGTTTTAGATAATTGCTACTTATAAAGCAGAAAGATATAATACTTTAACGACACCAACGCATCACTTTTTCCAGTAGAATGCAGATAGAGATTAAAGGGTAAAATTTTAAAAGCTGAGGAATATTACGCCCAACCTTTGGATAATCTTTGGCATATAAAAACCATATAATTTACAAAATAACACTAGCCATGATTTAAACATAGGCTGCGAACGTTTGTAAATGATAATTGTTAAGAATGTAAAAACATCTGCAATTATAATTTCATTATTTTTCTGCTTATAAACAAATGATGTTGAGGTATGTAATTACTACCAATATGAAAAATATTGTGTACCAACAAGTATTGCATTATGTAAGAAAAACTTTTGCATAAATGAGATACACAGATAAGGTCACAGATTAACATTAAGTCTACAAATCAAAACTAACTACCATGTACAAGTCTATGGGAAATTTAATGTTGCACTCTAACCAATGAGTCAACCATTCCTAGTATTTTTATTAATGGCTATTAAAAGATATTTAAAATAAAGCATTACCGCTCAGGCTATTACAAATTAGTTCTGTATATTACACGTCTTAAGTGTATTAATTGATAATTATCTTGGAATAACATGCTGGAGTGATTACTTTGCTGTAATGACGTAAGATAAACAATTTATACTCGCACTAACTCGCGTTCCTACAAAATTGAACTGTCTAATTTTGCGAATATTCAAATTATAAAACGTAGCCCCTCCCCCCACACGAATCTTCCATAGTTCCGCCACTGGACGAGACATGAACCTCTGAACGGGGGTCACTTAAGCCCGGCCTGATGATTAACCGCTCTGGTTTCAAAAATTAAAGCTCGTACTACAACCGTGGGTGGCTAATTAGCCAGAATAATTATAAATGCGACTCGCAGACAATACTGGCCGAACTAAAAGTGTCATTTTAACGTGCGCTCTTTTATTTACATAACGGTTACGTGATATGCATATTGTGGTTTTGGCGTAATTATCGCGGTCTTAGTGGTGCTCGACTAAGTAGGCTTTCTCCAATGTAGGAATTAATTCAGTTTACAGAAACTCGAAAACGTAAAGGGTTACTTGTTTACATTCGAAACTGTTGAGAAATTTCAGCAGTGGATCAAACACTGGCCTTATGTTGTAAAAACAGTTTTTCAAGTACTCGTTTGCATTCGAAACTGTAGAGAAATTTCAGCATTGGGACCTACACTGGTCTTGCGACGCAAAATATACTTTTTAAGTACTTATTTGCGTCCGAAACTGTAGAGAAATTTCAACAGTGGATCAAACACTGGCCTTATGTTGCAAAAACAATTTTTCAAGTACTCGTTTGCATTTGAAACTGTAGAGAAATATCCACAGGATCAAACACTGGCCTTATATTATAAAAACAGTTTTTCAAGTACTCGTTGGCATTCGAAACTGTAGAAAAATTTCGGCAGTGGAACAGCCATTGGTCTTGGTCGCAAAATTATTTTTTAATTACCTATTTGCATTCGAAACTGTAGAGAAATTTCAGCGGTGGTTCAAGACAGTGGTCTGGGTGGAGCGAGGTTGCAAGGTACAGTGCCACACAGTGAGCAGGCCTTAAAAATTATCCCGCGAATGCTGTCTGTCACTTGCAGAAAGAGATGTGTACGAACCGCGTTGTCACGTTTGTGTGGATTTTTTTTTGTACTCGTATTGCTGTTTGACAATGCTTGTCCACACCGGTCTCAAATGATGATTGATGCCGTATTGAAGCATAGAAATAACGACATAATCAGATCTAACATATATTTAATCGAGGAATTAAAAACCAGTCATTAATAAAGTACTGCCTACATGCTTATTGTTTGACTGTTTGGATTTAATTAGTCCGGTGGGGAATAAATTAATTTTCAGCTCGGGTATCATCCGAAAAAGTTATGTAAAAAGTATCTTGATGTTGCTTCATCTGTAATGTATACGACGATGAATGTAGATTATAGATGTCATCGGACATTTATTGTTGTTCATAAATTATAAGTAATGATTATTGCCTCGGCCAGCATTAATGATTCTATATTCCTTTGGATTTGGGTTCGGTTTTTATAGATGTTTACAAACGTAGAAAGAGAGGCAAATAGTGTGAAGTACCTGGGCATAACTCGTTAGCATCCCGTCAAACAATTGAAGAAAGGCGCTTTCAATTATTAACAATTATGAGGTAAATAACTCCCTTAGAGCTAGTTTGTAGGAATCAGAACAAAGAATCTATTGTCTTCTTTGGTAGAAACGTTCTAATACAGAGGTGTTTACATTTTTAACCCATTAGTTTTTAAATACTGGTAAACAGGAGAGTGTTAAATGCTCACTAGTAGCTTTTTAACTGTTGTTTTTAACCTTCTTTTGATAATAATTTTGTCGCTCCAGTCTAGAAAACTGAAAAAATTGTTTGGACGGGATGGGGTGTTTTCCATGAAATTAAATTGCTGTCGGTGAAAGGTCAAATGACATGCAACACCAGCGCATCCGCCACTTTTAGCAAACGCTGCGATTTCTAATTGAATGTTCAATTTTGTTTCAGCTTTCAAATGCCACGATGTGGGTTTGCACCAATCACCAACGCCGAATATAGGATTCTCTAAGGTGAGTGACGAATAGTTACTACGTTTTTAGTTTTAACCTTACACCATGCAATAACAGTCGTATTCATGTAATATCGGGATCATCGATTGCTATACGCGGTGGTGACTAACGGTGTAGAAATTCAAGCGAGATTAGCTCTCATACAGGGTCTTCGGATATGTCAAAGGTTAAGATGTTATCATGAAGTTAGATGACTGTGTTCCTTATTGGAATTTCAGCTTACGTTGATGTTTATATAAGCGATTTTTTGTCCGGTGGTTTTTCTGAAAAGCTTATTGCGATATGGCGCGGTACACACTGTAAATCGTTCGATAGATATAACCGTTATTAAAATGTTGACGTTGAAAAAGTTAATGCAACTACCAGCCTTCTCGAAAACCATTTCTAAATCTAAATCTTCCGTAATAATAGCGGCAGCGCATTCTGAAATCGCTGTACGGTCATGTAATTTGACTCGAATATCAAGATGTAATATGCAGTAGTTCACACAGAACATGTAGTAGAATTTATGAATACACAGACATAAGCTATAGAAGAAGTAAATACATATTGTTTGCCGAGCACGGCCTGTTATTTGATACTCAAAGACAGTAATCGATTTTCCGGAAGTGGTAGTAGACGGTATGCTAACCACTTCGCGTTCTAAAAAAAAAATGCCGCTGAAATATTCCTTGGGTGCTTTTAATAAAAAAAAAGAATAATGACTTTATTAAACGACATTGTTTAAAAAATATCGGGACAACAAGGTCGGAGGGTCGAACGCGACGGAACCAATGCGATTGGCTCGAGTTGGCGGGCGGAGCTTTCTGTTGTTTCGATTTGCCAAATAAAACCACTGTAGTGACGTCACACGCTCAACGTTAGGGCTTTATTATCTTGACGTGACGGGTATACGGGGTGTTATTTAAGTACGTGGCCAAACTTCAAGGGGCGATTCTTTAAGTGATTCTGAGACGAAAAGTTTATATAAACATAGGTCCGGTAATGCTTCGTTTTCAAGATACAGGGTGTCAAACTTTAAAAAAAAAATCGTTTTTTCGTAAAAACCTTAATAATCCTTTAGCGGATTATGTTGAAATTTGGCAGTGTTCTTTATGGTAGAAAGGGGCTAATTTAGATTAAAGTTATTAAGGTCAGTGGCGTAGCGGGAGGCACCTTAACCAATCTTTCTGACAAAAGAAATGTGCGCCACTGACTTTTTTTAAACTTTTATAATTCTTTTCGCATTAAGCAACTAAAAATACAACTTTTTGTCACTTGGATTTTTTTTGTATCTTGCTTCCTTTTTGGAATACGGATTACCGTCGGTTTAGCCGAAGTTCGCGGGGTATATTTAATAAATATTTTTAGCCGCATTCCCGTAACCATCCTAGAATATAATATTATATGGTACCTTATTGCAAACGGCTATTGCCTTGCCTTCTTTTACATCTACTCATCCTACTAGAATTATGTATTCAGCGGTTAGAGTAATTGCTGTTTATCCGATGCGTCTTAAGACCATCGTGGGAAATCCACGGGTTCAGTTCTTAAATGAAACAATTACCCACTTGCGTGTTCGCAACACATTATTGCCAATCCCGCATCGCGTTCGGTTTTTATTTTTCTATATGTGCCCCTCATATTCATATTTTGGGCGGCATTACGCGCCCTCGAATTTTTTTCACACGGACCCAGCTCCTGCCCATCTCACTGTCCAATAGATGTACAGGGCGTCCAGCCTAAACCGAACATTGTCGGCCGAAAAGGATGGTAAAACTTTTGTGAAAATTCTTAAGTTTTGGATTAAAAAAAAAATATTTTTCCCTGATTAATAAGCTGCAGGGTACTTGAGTTGACGTTCGACACAGTTCAGGCTGGATCCGCAGGGGTTCTGTAGTGGCCTTCGCGTTGAATTTGGGAATAGGGATTTTAGGGAAATTTTCGAAACTGTGGCGAAAATCTCGTTTCCTCCCTTCGCCTTCCGCTGCGTTTGGTGGGTCTTGAGTTTTGGCGGGATTCTTACCGCAGGCTTCTTCGATTATTTTGGAAACTTGCGTGAATCTTGGAACTCTCCCATTAGACAAACGAATATCAACCGTTTTTCTCGCCTCCTTCGAGCATGTTAATGGTCCACTCTACCATTTACTTCGCATGATTGCGACTTGATGCAACGCCGCTCCGATGTTGCGAAATCATTAATTTTCCTTAATTACACTAAAATTTGCATGTCAGTTTAAACAAACCATAAGCGATGCATTACTTTATAAATGATGCGGATAAAAACTGTTATTTTTATGCATGCGAAGGTGTTGCGATCGACTGACAGCGTAAAATAGCTAGCGAGTGTGTCTGACAGCTGTCAGGGTAACTAGTTTTTTTAATTGGACTTCGAGTGTGAAATATTTGTTGTTGTTTATATTTTTCTTCTCCTAAAACTCGCCTCTGTGACCTAAAAATCGTTTCGATTTTTGTTTCTGTTTCGAGACATTATTAATTACAGAATGTCAACGAGCTTTTGAATTTTCATTACCGTACGTCTATAGCCATCACGGTTAATGTGGCACTCGCTGAAACGGGCTTATTGTTTTAAAGATAGATTACGTTATGCTTTAGGAAGTTAAGCGCTAGATGATTAACGACTTCCAGCCGAACAAAAAGTGTTTATTTTTAAAATATTATGCAATTTGTGCAGTTGCATTAAACTATATATTACGTTCCGAGTGGAAGTTAATGATTATTATTAATTACTCACGTTTGCCTTAAAATGCGCCGGGCAATTCATTAACTTGTTTACTTTATCTGGATACATATTAAAGCCATCCTCCTTTGCTATTGCTTGTAATAAATACGATTATTTCAGAGAACATTTTGAATTGCCCATAAATTGTCATTCACAATTTGATGGCTAAAATAATGCCAGGTAATAGTCCAATTAAATAAGCCTTTAAATCGAAATTTTGGTCAACTTGCCTGAATTTTTGATATGAGTTAGTTTGAGGTATGTTATAACAATAAGTGACAGTAATTGTTCAACCCCCGGCCAAGGGTGAAAAAAAGATAAAAGAAAGGAGTTTTTCAAGATAACTCAAAACGGGTAATGGCTAGAAAAAAAGTCGTATAAAAGTTGTAAAGCATACAATTCTACATAAAAATTACTTTTTCTTGTATTATTAAAATTAACAGAGTTAGGGAGGCTAGAAGTTAAGGGAAGATTTCAGAAATTTAAAAAAATCATAAGCAGAAAAATGAATGAATTTTGTATTTTTTTTATCTACTCTAAAAAATGTAACCTTTCTTTTCAGAGAAATAGATATATTTTTTGATTTTTAATAAGAAAGTTATAGCGATTTCAAATTTGTTGTTCACCCCCCTAAACAGAAATTTTAACGATAACCTCGAAACAGGTCAATTTAATTTTGTCAATTTGCTTACATAAATCATATTTTTAATTCTTTTTAAGTACGATTTTTTTTAAATAAAAATATAGTTTTTCTGAAATAAAAAATAAGGGTAGCAACCCCCAAACACGGAATCACTTGCGAAATATTTGTTTTTTATCATAAGTAATTTCCATTTTGTTTCATTTTAAAATATTGGTTAGAACCTCAGAAATTTTGAAAAAACTGTTTTGGCAGCTGAACTTTGAGGATGTATTTCACCCCGTAAATATATTTTTCCGCCGATAAAAAAAACGTGTCTCTTTACTTTTTTTTAGAGTAGATTGAAAAAAAATACAAAATTCATTCGTTTTTCTACTTGTTATAATTTTTTTAAGCTGAAATCTTCCCTTAACTTCTAGCCTCCCTAACTGTTAATTTTAATAGTACAAGAAAAAGTCAAGATGCCATTTTTATGTAGAATTGTATGCATTACAACTTTTATAAGAAACTTTTTTTCTAACCCTTGCGTCTTTTGAGTTATCTTGAAAAACTCCTTTGTTTTATCTTTTTTCACCCTTGACGGGGGGGTTGAACAAAAAATTACTGTCACTTATTGTTATAATATACCTCAAACTAACTCATATCAAAAATTCAGGCAAGTTGACCAAAATTTCGATTTAATGGCTTATTTAATTGGACTATAATACAGAGTGAGACAAGTTACAGTTTGGTAGATTTGAGATACAATGGCTTTCGACGAATAAAAGCAAAATCGGTTGTAATTTGTTTTACATCGTAATCAGATAGTTTGAATCGCTTTAGTATTAAGTAACTTTCTTTAAAGAGGTTTTAATATATGGGTATAAATTTATATCATATTGTTCCCCGCCCACATGCCTCTATTACATAAATTTATATGTCTACAGCATTTATCATTTGTTCCTTTTATCTTTATTATGCAACACATGCCTATACAATTATCTCAGTAATAATAATCAATCGTTAATTAGGTATAAAGCGTATGCGTACACACATCATCCAGTTATTATTCGCTTGATCTACATTTGAGGATTGTAATTACAATGTGATTAAATAAATGATCACGGTATTACACGTCGTCGTGCGACATAACTGTAAATTTTTCGCCTACAGTTTGTTGTACTTAATGAAGAAATGCGACAAAAATAAGCAAACTGATCTCGCTTCACTTTTGATCCGAAAGAGTAATTTGATTTAAAATTATTAACAAGAAATGTGAACGGTTTTTGTGTTAATAAACTCTGGTTTCCCCCAGAATGTCAGGATTTCACATTTAAAATGCAGATCTGGCTCGTATACAGTGCGTTCGATCGTCAACGACGACTCGAAAGACGTGTAAAAATTGTATCGCGGCGAAACGGCGCGATTAGAGATGTTACAAGTGGGGTCACTGCGTATATTAACCAACCGAACGTTAAACAAATGTAGCGTAAAATGTAATTATGTTAATTAACCGTGTAAATCTCATCTCCAATCCATTCCGCAGCGTTTAATGTGGACTACAGGGTCATTAATTGCATGATCTGCTTTGGTCGACCTTTTCGATATCAGAAAAGAAAGTATAACCAACCATTCGACGTGGTGTAGAGAACTCGAACG